GTTGGGCCTTCAAGGCCAGCAGCTCAGCTGTCCACCTAAGGAACACACAAGAATCTCCAAACCCTAAACATTTGATTTATTAACACAGAGTCAAAGGAAACATATCAGACGATACCTAAGGACTGAATACATATTCTAAACTGCTTTACTAGCATGGTTGTTCCGGGTCCAAGAAAAGCATAAAAGAAACAAATACAAGAAGGTTTATTCAGAACAGGAACAATAATCATGGGGCAAACAACTTTCTGGTTGAGCAATAAAGATACTCTGTGTAAGAAGGAATCAGCTAAACATGTTATCACTAGAGCTAGGAAGCAATGGAAGGACTGCCCAGCGCTGCCTCTGAAGGATAAGAGCCCATACAACAAAGCAAAGGAGAGACTGCAATAAAAGCTGATGCAGTGACTGTTTGGCAACCCAGGAGAAGTGTCATGATGCACAGCTTCTACGTGTTGTCACCACTGAGCTCTACGAGGACCTGAGAATCTCAAAGTAGTGAATGGCATTTTAATCCCTGAAAACAAAAGTTGCTTTGTAATGACTCTGCTACCAAACTTCACCACAGGTTTCAAGGACTATAGGAGACAAAAGAGACTGCCTTGTGCATTGCCTTTCTTTCAGAACAAATCTACTTTTAGGCAGCATGATGAACATGTGTTACATAGATTTCAGATCCTAAGGAATAATTTGAGGAGTGTGAATGAAAACAGAAAAGGGATTCTCAGGCTGAAGAATGTGAAGTTCTGAGAACTGATGAGTATCTTGTTTCGGATTACAGCTAGAATGCTTCAGGTTTCCTGATGTAACGAAAAAAAAAATGTTCATACGTAAGGGCTTCTGAGCAAGTCATTAAGCAATCTAAAGTAACCAGGGATTTCCCTGCACCCTTTACATTGATGACAGTGAGGGAGAGGGAGAATCCAAGCCTAATACTGTCTTTAAGTTTTCATACAGCTCTGTGCTTGTGACACTCCTTACTTAATAAACCTCAAAATAGATTTGAATACAAAGCTATTTTCTTATCCTCCAAGGAACCAACTGAAGTCTCAGTTTCCCATCAGGATATATTCCAAAGAAAAAAATTCCAGGAATTTTGAAGATAACGCTCAATCCAGTATAACCAATAATCTAGAGAACTAAACTGTCTGTTGTTACGATGAAACCAAACTCAAAGTCTTATCCTACTGCTCTTCTAAATCCAAAGTAAGTGGTCTTGAGGAGTTAGCATATTTAGCCTTGCCTAAAATACTTCTAGCTACCTCTACCCAAGAGTAAGCTTTGCCTTAATACTATTCCGACTTACCAGAACTTATCAGACTTATTAGATAGACTGCAGATATTTAAAAAAAAAAAAAAGTATACTATAGCAAGACGCAAGGAACACACCAGTTTAATCTAGACAGTTCTCCCCAAACAACAGCAGATAAGAATTTGCATAGGTTTAAAGAAACCCTGACAAGCTAAAAATTCACTGGCAATGATAATTAAAACTTCTGAAATTTGGTAGCTATGAACAGTAAGAAAACATTCAAAAACTTCTTTAAATTAGGTAAAATTCTTAGAATTGATTTCCATTCAGACTTTCTAGATTATCAGTAACAACTAATGATGCTGAGGGAATATGAAAATGGTGTAATTCACACAGACTCTATTCACTTCTAATGATCCAAACAAAGGAGGCACTTAGATTATAGAAATAAAAACTCCCCACTGGTATTGCTAATCTATTTCCAAAGTTATTTAAATTGCTTTAAGAAATATATTTTAAGCTAACTAATAGTTAGCTTAATAGTTCGTATTCTCTGAGACAGGCTTAGAAATCCTTTAAAAGGCAAAATATAAGCAACACTCTAGAAATGAGGAAAACCATGATTACCAGATTATCCAAAGTGATAAGTATATTATTAATTTTAGAAGCAAGTATTCCTAAGCACCTAGGTGCATACCAGGAGACCAGCAACAAAGCCTTTATAGTTCCATACTGTAAGCACAAAGGGTCTGTTTTCCAGTGCCTTAATTATTTCTGAAAATCAAAACATTTCTGAAAACAGTTGCAGGGCACTGATCCATACATAGTTAGCAAACAGCTGGTAAACAGGTTGGAATGTGAAGAGAATCCTACACGCATACACACACTTTTGGTCTGAAACACATTAATAAAAAACTGAATGATAAAAAGCAGCCTTGAGACCTCTCACAATGCAGAAGCATCATGACATTCACTGCTAAATGAATGAAGACATATGGAAAAAGCATATAAGTTGGTTATTTGTATTTTAACACACAAGAAACAAAGCAATAGGAAAATTAAATTTGTGACACAATAAGGGTCTTTCCCTTATATGTTTCTCAGAGCGTAATTCAACCTATTGCTTTTGTATTTTTTTTGTGAAGTAAAACTAATTTCACTCCTGAGAATATAAGATATTACGATCTCAATTTAGTAGTTCATTCACAGGAGGAAATGATACAAGATGCTTCAAAGAACTGTCTAAAACTCCCTGTTACAAGAACTACACATCAGTATAGTAAGATTCCTTCTCACTCAGAGAGTTACCTAGTGGTTAACTCCTGAAGCATACAGATTAATAAATGTGGTTGCCTTCATTACTCGCACATCTAATCCTCTTCTGAGCCTCTCTAAGCTTTTGACCTCAATTATATCCTGCAGAAAAATCTTCACAGAGCATATATGAAACGTAAAATAATACTCTTGTCAATGTTTCAAATTTAATTTATAAAATGTGCTTATGAGGTAGAGCAATAGTATGATCTTTTTACATTACCTGATAGGCTTGGTACACCATTCATTATCCTGAATACCTTTCAGCAAAGTGTCACTGAAGGTGGCAGTGCAATCACCACCTTTATTTAGGGTCAGTAAAACCAATTTCAAATCCTTTAAAAAACAACGGCAGCGTCTACAGCCGGTTACGGCCAGGCTCAGGACTGAGGCAGGGGAACAGAACAAAGGAGGAGGATTTTGTAACCTCCCCACGGTGAGGATACAGAAAATATATACTATTAATTGGGGGATCAAAATTGTTTCATCATTCTTTCTTCTCCTTATTAATTTTAATCTTCTCTCCAAACTGAAAACAGTGTATCACCCAAACCAAAGGTACAAAGTTTGAGTTATATATATGAGTAGAAAAATTATGCTGGATCCTGTTTGAGTAAAGATGCAAGACAGAGAAGGATGAATGCAGTATAAAATATGAAAAAAGATACGAAGAAAATCTGACTAAGGACAGAAAAAGGCATAGCCTTTGGATACAGAGCTCACTTAGAGTTGCAAGCCAAGAAATTTTTTTTGTTAAGCACTATCTTGTTTGTATGTTCTTTGTAAGTATAGAGTAGTCATATGTCTTTGATAAGGTCCATCACTGATTTCTCTTCGTAAATAGAACAAAATACACAAATAAGATATTTTGGTTTAGGTATTAGGCAAAAAAAAAGTTTTGAAGAATTAATATACGGGCAGCATACACCTACAGCAAACCATAAGCTTTATTTGCTCATTTTCGGTTAAATCATACTGTCCCTTCACTACAGATTTTATAAACTCAAGCTTTAACTGAACCTTGAAGAAACATTAACAGCAGAGCACTGCATTCAAACAGAAACACCCCACGGGCACAAACTGAATGCACTAAGCAGACTTTAACGTTATGGACTGGAAGTGGCAGCAACCACACGAGTCACCTGATAGGGGGTATGAAACCACCGAAAGGAATCACTGAAATAGAAGGAAGGGAAGCGTTGTGGAAATAGGAAGTAAAGGAAGAACAACTGTTCCTTTGAGAAAGTCCTCAGCCACTGTAAAAAGACAGGAAAACAGGACCAGAGGCAAATGGTACAGAGTGAGAAAACCATCTTGGGATCATAGAACAACAAAACGTACCAAACTCAGAAAGACCCACTGAACGGTGAGAAAACTACAGGGTTTTGCACTCAGAATACTTTCTGCAGATCTGCCTCTATCTTGTGTTTTTTCTTGTAGGTAACGTACAATTAACTTAGAAATTCACTTACAAAACTTGACTGTTTCGTTTTCCACTTTCACAAAATGTTCTTAAACTGGAAAGAAACCAATAACGTGGAACCTTCTTGATGAACCTGGGTTGTGCAATAAGTTGGAATAAAGAAAGTCACCTCTTCCTGGTTGAAGGAGCTCGCCAACTCTTCATATCTCAAAAAGGAAGGCTGGATGAAGAGCTGATCCCTAAGAAAGGGGAAGGGACTTCTAGCCTAACAGTTTGCTTTGACTTTGCAGAAAGGTGAGATTTAACGGGTGGATCCACAAACAGCAACCTGATATGAATACTGCGGGGAGAACTCAACAAGCATAGTATTAAGTACTGAATTGTAGGAAGTTCAGCAATAATACAATTCAAAGTAATCTACAGGAGAAAAAAAAGATACAGAGAGTGATGCTAGCTTAGGTAGGGTCGTTTGGAATAACGAACGTATATTCTGCTTTTAATGGCAGCAACGTTCATGTGGGAAAACTGCTTTTACTAAAAAAAGAGAAAAATGCAGATTTTGTTTTTACACAGTTTACCATATTGGGATATACTTCATAACTCCAAGAAAGCAAGCATTGATCTAATGCTGCACTGACACAGATCATCTATAGCTCAATCAGCTGACCTTGCTATACCGCACTTACAGAATTTTTTTTAATTTGACATAGAGATTTAAAAAATCTGCAAGCTGCTCTGCTGCTCCGTAAACAAACGTTGCTTATGAAAGTATTTGCAGCCATAGGTGGTAGCAAACAATCGGAAAGTTTTCATAACAACACAACTATCACAAGAATTAAAATATACAAAGGAAAATTTCCATGTAGTTCCTTAAGATCTATAGAAAGGACAGTACGTCAACCTTTGGGAAAAGTTGAAGTATAAAAACAACTGTGCATCTAATAATCTTACTAGACTAAGAAAAATAAAAGTATTTGTTCTGAAACATGAAAGTCGCATGATTCTGAAACAAACCTTGTCCATTAGTTTACTGGCATGAAGACTCAGGCTGTTAAAGAATATCTTCTTGCTCAGCAAATGCATTTCTTCAATTGTTGTCAGCAGTGTGGCTGCACTGTTTCCTACAATACCACTGAAAACAAAATTAAGATTATTTCGTTAACACAAAGGGAGGCTAGGCACAGGACAGAGTCAGATACTCCAGATGAAATTTCAAATACAATTCATTGAAAGTTGAAAACATAAAACAAATCATTACAGGGAACCTTTCTCCATATCGGGCCTAAGCGATTAATTCATAAGTAAAATGACAGAGAGAACAAACATTATCAACTATATAGTCAAACAATGAGATTATTACTTTTAAGTACAGCCTACCTAAAGCTTGGCAGAAACTTTTGGATATAATTCTAAAATTTACTGGATTTTTTCGCTTTGCTATTTTGTAACTCTGCTTCTGCTATAGCAAACATAGATTATGCAAACAAAAGGCTTGATAACTTTATTCTGTCTTACTGCCCTCTAGGGAAATGAACTGCTTCATTGGGATGTTAGGCATCTCCAGAAACACAAGAATTCATGCTCTATTATTCCAAGTGTCAAGCTATACGTAGCACCAATGTTTCATAAACCTTAAACCACACTAAATGGTTATACACCTTTGGTTATACACCATGGATCCATCTTCTGTCTAAAGTAAAAGTAATTCTAACCTACAAATAATAGCAGGTAAACCTTTGTGTCATAAAGGGACTAATTTGCGCCTGTAGCTTGATTTTTAGAGTATAATCCTGTTCCATTTAGTAGGACATTTCTCAAACTCAATTTTCCCTTAATTAGTTAGGTGTACTTCCCCTACACAGTTAAAATTATTCAGCTGACAGAAGGTACTTCAACTATCTTTAAACAATGTGCTGTTACCAGGAGAGAAAGCAAAAGGTAAGATTGCCCAAGACCTTCCATTTTGCCATCACATTTTCAATTGCACATAGCTTTATAACTACTGGGAAACAGATTTTTGGAGACAGAAAAAGGCCAGCAAAAATCTTTTAGCTGTTTTTAAAAGTGAGATTAGGAATAAAATATACTTTGCTCAATAGTACCAAAAATCGAACCAAACCAAAAGTCTTGTACGTGTTCTACCATAGATCTGTAGCACTATCACACTTGAGATATTTAAACACACCGGTGGCTGGCCAAGAACCGCTTATCCCAGTTTGGCCATTATCTAAAAGTCTGAAGGTAAGCTCAAATCATCACCTTAATGACTCAAATTGTCTCAGAGCAGTTCAGTTCAGGATTGCAGAGGGAGGTTTTCCTGTTATTTCAGCTTCTAACCAAAATGAACCACTGTATAATGCCACAATACATAAAAACAGAGTTTCTGGCTTTTCTCTGGTTTCAGTCTCTGTGGTGGCATTTGGCAGGTTGGAAGACAATGTGTGCACCTTGAACAGAGGGATGTGGAATGAGGCAAGTATCTTCCCAATAGAAAAATGTAAGTACGCAACATAAAAAGACGGCATCATAATATATTTGCATAATGAAGGAAAAAAATCACTATTCTGGAGGTAATTTTCATTCTAGCATTTTCCTAAAGGGGTACTTGAATTTGTCATCTTAAATGTTTTGTATAGCTTTTTGTGCACAATCAGTATCTACCTGGAAAAATAAAAAAGAATTTATGTGGCAAATTCATGCTGTATTCCAATGTAGATGCTATATAAATAGAGGAATAACAACAGATAAATGACATCTGTTTGATATCATGCATGTTTTTCTTTGATTCTACAGTACAGAGCATAAACTAAGACAAGAAAATAGTGTTTGTACTGCATTAATCTTCATACCTATTATAAAAAAAGACATCCTTAACATACTTTCAAATTTTGCATACCTGATTGTATGGTGGTAGAACTTGAGAAGATTAGAAATCTTGTACAGTAAAACTGCTCCTGGTTCAGCAACAATCACCTGCTCAATCCTAACCTGCAGAATAAAAGATGATAAATATCTTTCAGGTCATAAAGTCTAAAAGTCACCCCCTGTGATTTTATATATGATATAAGCCTGACTTCTGAGAAATATATTTAACTAGAAATGAATTCATCAGGAGATAATGGTCCAGTTAATTATAACATTCTTCTTAAACCAAATCTCTTGGCTGCCAAGCATCCAAATAAAAAAAAAAAAAGCAGGTGCATCAAAAAAAAAATCACATTTCCCTATAGGTTTTTGTTGTAACTTGCTATTGAAAATTTCAAAATAATGAGATCGTCTTATGGATTAACATCAGTACACACTGGAATCCTCCCCAGCACCAAACAGCAAGAACAGCTGCAAAATCCCTAAACTACAACAGTTGATCATTAGCATCTTGCTGCAATTCAGAACATCTGAAGTATTGGGTTTTTTAACCAAAAGACGAAACTTCACCTGGATTAACCTCTCCTTTACTCAAAGGATCAGTTACGTAACTGCTACCAGTAGGTAAGCAGGTATATTTATAATTAAATAGCAGCTACGCTGACCATTTAGCTCAGCCAAGAGATGCTGGATACACAGACCAAAACAGGGCTGAATTTCTTTATACTTGGACAGTTGATGTCTCCATGGTACATACAGTCCCAACTCATTCATAAAAGGCTGCCCCAAAATCAGTCTTTGGGAACTCATGAAGCGGTGACAGTCACTAAGTGCTGCACTATTCCGACACGTGCTTGCGTGTGAAAGGGCAACACACAAACCACCAGCCACCACCCCTCTCCCACACTGTCTGCTGTTCAGTGGAGGAACAATCCACAGCAGTGCTTTCTTGTCACAGGCAGCTGCAGAGAGAACTAAACTAAGACTATGCTTCCTCAGTCATCTCCCTTTGCATCTAACTCGGAGACCAAAAACGCAGAGTAATTTTTGACTTTTATTTGCAAAGCTCAGTGCACAAACTTCATTTCAACATTTGTGTGAACTTTGCTCTTCAACATACACATACATATACAGGGGTACACATACGAATACCTATTTGTATGCATAGAAGGTGCTGCATAGAAGGACTTTTGGGCAGGGATACTAAGTATTGTCTAGATGTATAAGGAGAGAGAAGGAAGGCAGGGGAAAAAGAGGAAAATCAAAATATGGACAAAAAAGTAAAAGCAACAATAACGGAACACAAAAAGAAGAATTAAGAAACGGAAAAAGATAAAATGGGCAGCAGGTGAGTATCAAGCTAAACTGAAGTGACAGGATCAAAAATATCAGCAGGAGGTCCCCTGGAAAAGTAATATATCATGTTGCCATTTGACTAGATTAAAAAGTATTTTTCCTAAACTTAATATAGTTATTTTTCTTCTCTTCTTCTATATTGCAAATCAGTTAACTTGCAGTTTTGTTAGAAGTTTTACTTGCCCTATTCTAGATGTAATTAAATGCTTAATTACAAAAGATTGTCCTGTATAAATCCACTGAGTAAATTCAAAGGACATCCACATTTTGAATAGGGTGTACATTTCTGATGTCCTTACTAGAAAAGGCACAGAGAAGGGCAACAAAATGATCAAAGATTTTGAGAACTGCTTCTGTATTAGCAGTGACTAAGCTGACTAGGACTCTAGCTTGAAAAAAGACAAATGAGCAGAGATGTGACAGAAACACAGTAGGAAACAGTTTTTCACGGTCTCGTTCAATATAAGAACTGGGCTTCTTAAACGAAACAAAACAAAAACAAAAAGGAGTTGGCTTTTCCACACAGCGTATAGTTAAACGGTAGACTTCCCTCCTGCAGGGTATGTTGTAGATACAAACAGCTCATAGCAAGCTGACATATTCATGGAAGAGAAATCTAATGAGGTCTATTAAATACAAAGACAGTAGCTCTGGCTCAGTTAAGTCCTTAGTAAGTCCATAAAAAGGCTGGGATACCATTCTGCAGACATACTGTGACACACTTGCACAACTCATATGCTCTTCCCTAAGCCTGTGCTAATGGTTACTGCGAAAGCAAGGGTACTGTTAAACTGTTTTTTTTTTTTTTTTATTCGACTCACTCTAGCAATTCCTATGTTCTTAGCCCAAAGCTCAATTTTTGCACATAAGCAATTTTGGACTTTTTCTAAGGTAACAAAACAAAATTAAGATATAGATTTAGTAACCTAGTATCTTTCACTATATGTCTGATTATAACCAGATATCGACGAACTAAGGAATCTTTAATTTTGAAGGGCTCTCAAGATTGAGAATCTAACTCTTAACCAAGGATGATGAAAATACATTGTAGAGACAGGGGCACAGTCTCTGTGCAAAAACACCACAGAGCTATTTTTATATTTAGAGTGATCAGGAAAACAAAATACTTCACCTTCAGGGGTCTGCAGACACCTTCTGTGATATGCCCAACTACTTCTTGAATATTTTCTTCCACGCCTACAGTTAATGCAAACATATGTTAAGATAACACAGATTAATTTAACTCTCTTTTCTTCATGACTTTAAACCAAAAACAAATGTGAGAGCTATTCCTCCATAAAAAGCATTATAGACTACATGGTCTTTTCCCCACAAGAACTTGACTAGTTTACATCTCAGCTGAACTTCAAATCTAGCCATTAATAAATAGTTGCATGACAAAACAGGGTCCTGAGAGTCATTAGCTTATGCTATGCAATTGCTTCCTAGCATAACGTAGAGCCTGGGGATTTGAGGGAGAAGGAGCAAGGGGAAGAATAAACGGTCTAGCAAGAAACTGTCACAGTGACGCTCAATATCAGCACTTCATGTAAATATATAGGAAAAAAAAAAAAGCCAGTAAGAAGCTCAAGAAACTACAGTATCTACCACTGCAAAAGGGCTAAACTGCAAATACACCTCTGGCAATTTCAAGTACTGACGCACCTATGGCATTGTTAAGAACTAAATCACATACGTACTTGCATGCTGCAGCATTAATAAATGCTTCTTCCCTAGCAGCAACTGAAACTAGTCTTTCACAGAGCAACATATACAAAAGAGAATATCACCCTATCTTATCATGAAACACAAATGAATCGTTGCATAGCAACCAGTACTGTCATAAATCAATCAAACTGAAAGCAACAGATCTTCAAGCTCTCACTTCAGCAATGACTCAGAATAGATTTATGGAAACAGCAATACTTTAACTCTAATTTAAAACACGCCATCAAGAGTTCATCATCAGATGGGACCCATGCAATGAACAGTAAACAAATTGATGGAGATGTGATAAAAACCAGGTGACCTTAAGCTATATTTTGCAGATCTTATTTCACACGAAAATGCATTACCTCCGAGAGTAAAAATTATAAACAAAGGTCAGATACATGTGACATGTCCCTTTACACTGAGATACGTGAAAAGCTACTTAAGCAGGAAAAATAACATTCAGTGCCGTTGTCTTCTGTTAGAATTTCAGCATCCTAAATTGGTAAGGTAATAAAATTTATATATATATTATATATATTAAATTTTATATATATAAGATTACAAAACAGAAGATTCATGGCCTGTTATGCAATGCCTTGTTCCCAAATACATCCTAACAACGTATACTCCTTTTAGTAGGATTCACATTTCAGTCTGTTAGGAGCGCTCTTATTTTTATTGCTCATCAACATAGCAAGTATCTGGCACATATGTGCACTACTGTATCGAGATCAGATTGACTTAACAACCATTTCTTAGTTATCAAAGTTTTAGGTGCAAAAAATGTACCAATTCAAACGCTAACACACATGGAATTACCATTCTGATGCATTGCATGCATGTGCTTTCGCATACACTTTAACGTCCAACTAGGATGTTTTAGTCTCAGCGAACAATAAAAGGAAACCTTCCAGCACAATTGGTTATGTAACTGTTGCAAGTATTAGTACGTCATGCTGACATGAAAGAATTATGGATGAAAATTTTCAGAGATTCAAAAATCAATTTTAGAAAGTAGATTTATTAAGTGAAGATATGCTTTCATCTGCCTCCTATACCGTATTTCATTTTTCTCTGTATACTCTTTCACTACAGAAATACCTTTCTTGTACTTCATTTTGGCATCTGGCGCTCTGGCTGGGTTCCTAGAACTCCAAGGAAAATGGGTTTCTACTGCTTCTTTTAAACAGAAAGCTTGCAATTCTTCCTTCCTTTCAAGAACAAGTCCTCTGTAAAACTGGACGGTTCCTACTTACAGAACTTCCTACTTCTTTTCTTCCAAAGAAGAAAACAGATGCTTTTCCCCAGCTAGTACAATGCAAAACAGTTAATATTCTTCTGAATATATTTTCAGTGCTCAATATTTTAATGGCATTTTTGATTAAATTAATTTTTAAAGAGTTGGCATTTGCAAGGTTACAAATTTTAAAAGTCTTAAGAAATTATTCTTGAATACTTAGCTGTGGGCTATTTAGCTCATTCTCATTAAAGTCAAAACTGGAACACTCCTCCATGAATGCGTCCTTTGCACAATTTTTCTTCCACTGGAACCAAATCTGCATCCATCTCACCCATAGCTGGACATTTCTTTTTGGAGTTTTTTTGTTTGTTTGTTTCCTTTGCTTTTTAAAGAGGAGAAAACAAGTTTTTGTGTGGGATTTTTATTGTCTCCACAGCACTTAAATCGCACTAAGCTTACTGGAGGATTTAAATAGGAATCTGAACTTGGCACAGAAACTCCTGAATTAAAATAGTAAAAGCAGCTCCATCTCCAAAAATCTATTTAAGCTAAAACTAAAGTTAGAACACCTGACTGACCTATCACAGGGAAAGATTCATTGCACCTAAACTTTAGCCCCCTCAGATTAGGTGTCTAGTCTATAGTAGTTGCTCAGGCTCCCTCTATTGGGAATAGAGAAAAACAGTTGTGATGAAAGCCTCCAAAATATCTACACTAGATGTCTAGCTTTGTGGTGGATATCATGGCATTCTGGAGAGGTTCCAGAAGACTGGAAGAAAATAAATATCACTGCTGTCTTCAGGAAAGGCAAGAAGGAGGATCTAGGGTACTATGTGCCCGTCAGCCTGACCATGATCCCCGGGAAGGTCATGGAGCAACTAATCCTGGATAGTGTTTCTAGACATATGAAAGACAAGGAGGCAGACAGGAGTAGTCAGTATGGTTTTAAAAAGGAGGAAATTGTACCTAACCAACCTGATGGCCTTCTGCGATGAGATGGCTGGCTTGGTGGATGAGGGGAGAGCAGTGGATGCTGTTAGTTTGCAGATGACAACAAACTGGGAGGAGTGGCTGATACACCAGCAGACTGTGCTGCCATTCAGAGGGAGCATGACAGGCTGGAGAAACGGGCAGGGAAGCATCCCATGAAGTTCAGCAAATGGAAGTGCCAAGTCTGCACCTGGGGAGGAATAACACCATGCACCGCTACAAACTGAGGGCTGAGCAGTTGGAGAGGAGCTTTGCAGAGAAGGACCTGGGGCTCCTGGTGGACAAGTTGAACATGAGCCAGCAACGCACCCTTGTGGCAAAGGAGGCCAACAGCCTCCTTTAGGGAGAGCATTGCCAGCAGGTAGAGGGAAGTGACCCTTTCCCTCAGCATTGGCGAGACCACATCTGGAGTGTAAAGTCCTGTGCTAGGCTCCCTAGTGCAAGTGAGATATAGACATACTGGAGTGAGTCCAGTGAAAGGCCACTAAGATTAAGGGACTGGAGCATCTTTCATATGAGCAGAGGCTGAGCGAGCTGGGACTGTTCAGCCTGGAAAAGAGAAGGCTCCAAGAGGATGTGATCAATGTGTATAAATATTTGATGGGGTGGCAGTGCCAAGGGAACAGGAACATGCTCTTCTCAGTAGTATCTAGCGACAGGACAAGATGCAATGGGCACGAACCGAAACACAGGAAATTGCATTTAAACCTAAGAAAACACTTTTTTCTTGAACACTGGAACCAGTTGCCCAGAGAGGTTGTGAAGTCTCCACCCTGGAGATATTCAGAATCAAACTCCACGTGGTCTGGGCAACCTGCTCTAGCTGACCCTGCCTGAGCAAGGGGTTTGGACCAGATGATCTCCAGAGGTCTCTTCCAACCTCAACTATTATGTGATTGTGACCTTCTGTTAAGAGCATCTGCCCTCTGGAGGTAATGAAACTCTGTTATCTGTAACCACAAACAAGATGTCCCCCTTTTAAACAGCTAAGCGAAACTCACTTAATCCATGCTATAGCCTGTGCAACCAGACACTGAAGACTGTACTATCAGGGAATTTAACTTAATCTCTCAATATCATAGATGGTGTACTCACTGATTAGCAAGTGTCAACTCTATATGAAGCATAAAATCTCAAGCTACTTCATAAGACTGCACTTCGCACCAAAGTGTTCTTATTAAACTCAATTGTATCTCATCTAGTACTATTTCACCTTACAGATCTTATCCTACAACCATTCTTGTCATCAAAAAATTTTCCCAAAGATGCAGAGGAACAGTTAACATACAATAACTTCCAGGCTTTGTTACTCCCAGTATGAAGCTAAGAATTCCCAATCATCTTATTCTCTTTACATTTCTTCAGAACTGCACAACAGTGATGGTAAACCCACACCTGGTTAAGCCTCAGAGAATAGACTTTGCTTCACACAGATATGTTAGTTTACTTGTTTACACTATCCTATGGAGAAAAAAGTTTTCGCTTGGCGATATTTTCAGGAAACTTTTCCCCTAAACATTTATTTCTCTATATTCTCAAGTAGTTTACTCTAGTCCATGGCTCAAACGCTCTGAATATATCAAATTAAGTTATTGTAACATCTCAGCCTGACATCCTGCCAGAAGTCCAGAGAATTTAACAGCTAGATAAAGCACTGCACAAGGAGGTGGGAGAATTTCAGAAGAGAACGCAAGACGTGTCAGTAGCAGTAGCACAGTCAACAATAGAACCACATACAGTAACATCCGCTATGTGGACAGCTTTTCCACACACACTGTCCACAGTTACAACAGAAGCATCAGCTCTTCACGTATAGAATCGCCGCGTATAGAATTGAAGCTTTGTCCTTGCTTTGATTTATAACATTTCCTACTTTAAGCAGCCTCCCTGCTCATTATGCAGTTAATAAGGAAAGCTACTCAATACCTACAACAGTAAGGAAAATGAGAATGCATATTAACTTTAAGTCCCAGAGAAGGATTCAAAGACTTGCAGTGTGAAGAGCTCTTCACACTCACTTTAATAAGCTCCATTTGATCTGTATTTGTTACAAATGAGTACATATGCTTAATGGATAAACAAGGCTTTGGCTTCAGCTATGGAGACTGATCACACTGCAGCAAATAGAGGCAGAAGAATAAAAATCTATGCACCTCCTAATGAAGGAGAACATCGGTATTACAAATCTTCATAGATCCACGAGAGGCCTACTTTGGCCTGCAGAAGCTTGTAGTGACGTTAGAAGGAAACTGCACTTTACTCATAGCACAGGAGAAACAGACAATTATAACAAAAATCGTCTTAGTACACAGAGGAGCAAGGGATAACAGAAATCCTCACCAATAAGCAATCATATAACAACATTTTCAGAGAGACATATATTTATATATATTATAAGCAGCCTTTTGAACTCTGAACTACAGTATAAAAAATTTCTCTCTAAATTTAGTGTAAACCTATTATGAACACAGTGAAATGAGAAGAGTGCATTTTGGAATGCTCTTCTTCATTAGGGGCCTTCTGCAAAATGCACCCATCAGCTATTCTGAAATTCTGTGCAGTATTGTCTAAGGTCAGACTCACATAACTGAAGCACAGTCTACGAAATTAATCACACCCGATCTATCACAGACATGTTTTCTATCATTACCCAATAAATGTTTTAAAATCTAGTAGTACCTTGAATAGTTACAAGCTTTAACATGGCTTCTAAATGTTCTTTTTCAGAAGCTGTAGCTTGATGCAACCAGGCCAGCATGTCTCCTACATACCTAAATGAAATCAAAAATTCCCATGTAAATCAGGGATTTATGGTGTCAGTGGGCAAAAGAAAGGTTTTTTAATACACATTCTGACTAGCACTGTACCTCAGAGGATCATGAGAATGCATTTCAATAGGACGGGGAGTACCTCCTACACCTCCTCTAGTAAGAGCGTCTATAAAACCACGGACTACGGCACTTCTCCTAGCTGTTCCAAACTCATCCAAAGTATACCTGTAATTGAAATATGAAAAGGGGTAAAACAAAATAGTTCTCATCATCACATTTCATTAGCTTAACTTCACAGTTATTACAAGTAACCATTTTTACAATTCTATTAAACTTGAATCAATGCTTTCACTATGCAAAATTCAAAACCTCCAGATATTATTGACTCTTCTGAACAGATATTGAAGATCATCACTTCTTCACCCTCCCATCTCCTCACCACACACAAGTGAATAAAAATAATCAGGGCAACACCCCGCCCTCCTCCTCTAGGCCACCGGATGGTTAGTAGCAACAAAGTTACTTCCACTTGATAGTTGTTCAGTTTTTTTAATCCATGAGACTTGATTAGATATTTAATGGACAGACAACTGCAGATCAAGAGCAAATCATCCCAATCAGCATCCCAGTAACAGAGGATGTACCAGAATATACACATACTCATTTTTAGAGGAGGCTACTTTCCTGTTGGGGCTGAAGCATAATGGCAAGTAAAAGAGGAAAACTAACGCTGGTAACACTCCATTGTACCTACTTAGAAACAGAAGAATTTTGAAAACATCAAGTCACTTCTATTTTTTTAAAGAACAGAATTTAAGTGTTTTGAACAAAAGACATAAATTACAAAAGAGAAAAAGAAAAACAAACGACGATTTATTTTTCCAGTACAATTGCAGAACACCAAAGACTAAGTGTGGTATCACAGTGACACCTAGCAGCTGAATAATAATAATAATAATAAAGAAGCATGCCACTCTGACTGAAGTTAAATGAGTACTGCAGATGTGAACAGATGTGAAGGACAAAATACAAAAAGAAACAATATACTGTTTCAAATAGGTTCCAAGTTAATTTCAACTAGACTTCTCTTATGCTACAAAAAAGGAATATAGAAAAAGAGTAAAACTGAAGGATCCCTTGGACTATTTGACAGACAGGAAAACAGCATATTTAAAAAAAAAAGTTTCAGTACTCTTCTACATTTTTCTCCAATAGCTATATCTGGTAACTCAGAGAACAAACACCTACATTTTTTAAAAAAAAGGTTCATTTAAAATATTCTTTAATAAATAACTATTTCAAAATTTATGTGATTAATAGCAGGAGAGATCTGGGATCCACTGACTACCAATAGTCTAGGAATAGCAGTGTTGCGGTGAAAGATCTCAGGTGTGTGTATATAAACCAGATAAGCTTTTTTCCCCCTCCTCCAGTAAACAGCTATAATAGATCATGACAAATTCAACAGCAGAATAGGTCTTATTAATTTTTGAAAACCACAGTTAATAATAATTTTGTTTAAAGGAGAAAACTACTAATTTTCCTTTTACTCTCAGCAGAGCATGCTACAACTATAACATAATCCTGCATGAATAGAATTCAGTAATAATCATTATTTACACTAGAAATACAGTTATTACACATATGCATTATGGGAGAGAAAAATAATATTTGCATTCTTTTCAGCCCTACACCAATTGTTCAAATACCCAGTAAATTCACTGGCAGGGAGGAGGCAGAGAAAAGGCTTTAAAAAAGTCAGAGCGCAGGATGGAAGGGGAATACTCCTTTGAGCTTTGACTCCACATATTATCTACAAAATTGTTTTCAATTTTTCTGTTAGGAACAGGAAGTGAAGATCAAACTGAAATATTTATTTCAGATCCCTAATGACTGCAGTTCCTGGAAGTCTGTCTATGGTGCAATGTTTCTGCCACCTTAAGGTTAAAAAAATATAACTCAAAATCAGAAAACAAGAATTTGCAGTCGTGTTTCTAAACTCCTGCCCTTCAGAATCTTTATCAGATGCAGAGGCAGTAATTTGGAGGAAAATCTGGGTGTAGTTCACACAGCAGTGCTTAAATGCAAAATAACAATAACTTCAAGCTAATTTCTTCTGTGACAGAATTTTTATATTTTAACTCAAGTGTGGTATGCACAAAGGTATATAAAAATTTTTACTTTGAGAAGGAAATAAAGTAATCTTGACATTCAAAATATTACAAAGCATCAATAATGCAATTTTATCAATATTACTGTAGCAATTAGTTAAGCATAATAACCTAAGATGAGAGACGTAAGGCTGCATCTTCTACAGTAATGCTTACTTTTCCCTTTTTGGAGAAAAATATGTGCTGTTGTGCTTGAACCGTTAGTAATATAAGTGCTGTTGTCTGTGGAGAAAGATGTAGGAAGAAAAATGAAGCATCTTTTGAAGATGCACTGTAAACTAGCCAGCTGTGCATTTTATACAGAAGATGAATTTTTTGTCATAAATGTTAAGAAAGCAAAACTATGTGAAACTTGAAAGTAACTTAAATATAACAAAATATTTGTTGCGGAAGATTTAAACCACATCTGTAAGGACCCCTACAAAATGTTGTGAACACAGTTGTGACTGACCCTATACAGCTGCGTAAAAGGGCCCGGAAGACAAAAACGCAAGAAAGGACTCTGCAGTTTGCAATAGCTGAAAAATATGATGAATGACAAAAACAAAAACAAAACAAAAACGAAAAACAAAAACCAAAATCTTAAAGCACAAAGAAGCTGAGCGTACTAGTATTAACCGTAAAAAAACCGTACCTGCTTACAATGTAAAGTTCTTACAGTGCCACCTTGTGGTTATTCGGCATCTAGTGTTTCATTTAGGTTAAACAATCCCTTCAGCGTCTCCTCAACAAGAATTAAATAGTAGCACATAACATACATGCAGGTACCCCTACCCTTTGGGGGCACACCAGGTATAGTAGATTAGTTTTAACCTATTATTTTCCGTCTCATAATAGAAGACACTCTTACTGCCAGGAGCACTTCAGTAAAAACTAATGATCCTTTTAGCAAATTTTTACTTCGGGGATTTAAACTAGACAATCACATGCTTTGGATAGCATTTTTTCTTTCAGAAAAACCCTACAAGGAGAGCAGCCCACATTCACAGTTCTTTTGGATTAAAAGAGTCTGGCATTTTACTTTAATTAGAAACTAGTAAGTTGGAAAAAAGTCAATGACATTTACTGTACCGCAATTACGTCATAAAAACTTCCGAAATTTAGGAAAGTTGAAATATACTTTTTTTTTTTTTTTAATCTGATGCAAGACTAAATTGTCACCATCCTTTTGCCTGTAGTTCATGTCAATTTGACAGTGTTATAGGCTGGAAATACTCATTTCTGGTAATCATGAACATTAACTTACTTATACAGGACAGGCCTATCTTGTAAGGCTTCCATAGCTTGAGTGAGAACTGGAGAAATGTCACATGATTCTTGTGTCAAAGTCCTGCACTCATCTGAAAAACATCAACACCAATAAAAAAAAAGCATTATTCTCGCAGTTAAAGGTAACGTAACTTCTTCTATACCAGGCTATCAAACAAGAAAACGGGTTGAAAAACTCAGAGAGGTTTTAGATTATGAGTTAAAGCCTTCAGAATATGCTGCATGGCCTTGTTTGTATTACTGTAATTAAATTTTCCCTCTCCCAGAAGCATTACTTTGCTGTGATGCCACATCCATTTTAAAGATCTCAATAATAATAAAAATTAAAGGAAGCTTAATATCTGATTGTGCCTATGTACTAACTGTTAAGCCATTCAACCATCAAAATTCTGTTAGGGGCCATAATCCCTCAGTGTCACATTCCAGGTAATCTGTTAAGAAAAATGGGAGCCTGTGCTATTTAGGCAAGCTACATATTTTTTACCTAAGTGACATATCTATACATATAATAGCTTTATAAGCTTGCATATTCCATGCAAAAAGGTGGAAATCATATAAATCAAATCACACAATTTAGCATAACATAGATGAATTTTTACTAGGGCCAAACTGCAACCATCATTTGAGACTTTAGTGTCCAATGAAAAAGAGCTAACCAGTACATTCTCCCATTGCACCAGCATGCTGTCAACCTTCCTGTCAACATCTTGGGAGAAGAGAAAAATAAAACAAAGCACCTATATTTTACACTACCAAGAAGTTCCATGAAACACTGACGTCTGGAGCCAGAACATGTATTTGGAAAAATATACTATTATTCAAGAGAACCTCCTAAGAAAATAAGTCTAAAAGGTAGGTTTAAACAAGGCTTAATCAAGTTCAAAAGGTAATAAACCACTCCTCAAATTAAGATAGATGTTACTAGCAAATTATCAGAAAAGAGAACTTTCCTGTGACCTGCAAGAAAATGAAACGCAATGAACTCAACAATTAGACTACTAAACCGTAGTCACTGACCTCTGTGGAAGACTATCTGCAAAATGCAAATAATTAACATAGTTTTACAGAAAGAGGTGTGATCAGCCAGTGATTACGAGCCCATAACAGAGAGAATCTCCAAGTTAACAATTTGATCCACAAAAGCTAGCTTTTAGACAAATTTTTCACTGAGAAGGAAATCCAAAGACTTGTTAATGAATCTTGGAAAGGGTTCTTGCTGAGTTCAACCCATATTAAGGAATTAAAGGAGTCCTCCTTAAAGGGTAATATTCATAAACATAATAAAAACAATCTTAGTCCTACTTTGAGTCCATCTGTAAAGTCGTTCATAAGATGTCTCTTGCAGTAAAGCCATCTGTTCCATAATTTCCAAGCTGCAAGATAAAAAAAGATTTTATTAGCAAATACTACTTTAGATAGTACTACTAAAAGGCATTTAGAAATCTAATAGAAAGCACTACTATTTAATTAAGAAAATTTCAAAATACGCTATCGTTTAGCTGCTTAATTAACACTCACCCTGCCCTTTGCTGATTTGTCCGGAGGAGAATCTTGACATCATCATGAATTTGCTTTACTCTTCCCAATGCCTTGAAAAAATCCTATAAATAAATAAATCAGTGTTTAAAAGTAGCAACTTTCCATTCACATCTCTAGCGTTTTGTATTCCTCATTCCATTTCTGCATTTTTGCTCCTCGCAGGTCCATGTTCCAAGCGCTGCTTTTAAAATACAACCACACACACATCGCACCCTTCATTCTACCCTCATAGCCTTGGTATGTTTTCTCTCCCTGTCATCACTCCCCTACTCCACAATTTTTTTTTTTTTTTAAACAGTAGCAAAGATGTGTTTTTAACCCGGCTTTATACAGTACCTGCGTGTTTTACCTTTACTGTTTACCTCTTTCGGGCAGACGTTTCTAAGGACTTTACTGGATATTCCTCTATTTTCTGTTCATTAACATAAGCAAACTGAAGAGCAAACTGATAAGCCATAATGCACAATGACTACAGGCTGGTATTTTTTTCTTTTAATATAAGAGAAGTAACTACTCATAAGAAAAATCAAGCATTTGCAATAAACTGATGTTTTCCATGCACAAATAACACAGTAGCAGTCTCTAGAAAACACTAGTATATTGCCAAAAAGGTTATGTTATCGTTCCAGGGAATTAAAGCAAATCCGCTAACATATTCAAATATAAGTCGTTTTACGACATCATCTTTCAAACATTATGAAGGAGACTGGAGAATTCAGACACAAACATTTGTTCCTTCTATGACTTGGACACAATTTACCTCAGAAAACTAGAGCTCCGCTCTGTTCAATTCATACAAAAGCATACGTTTTCTCTAAGTGAAGCACACAGATTAAATCAATCCACGGCACAGCACCAACTGTGTTGAAGACAAATTTATGAAAACCCAACAACTCACAGAACTTAGGATTAAAATCTTCGTTCAGAAAAAAAGAAAATCTCACTAACAGAAATGTGACTTTAATCACAGAATCACAGATTAATAACATTTTAAATGTACGGGTTGGTTCCACCTTAGGGTAGAAGCTCACAGATGATTTTACTGAAATCTGTCACTTCAGTAGCACAACTACGGTTATATCCCGGTTATATCTCCGCTTTTTTTTTTTTTTTTTTTAAAAAAGGTAGACCAGAAGTGTTGATAGGACTAATCTGTGTTCTGCTGCAAGTCAAGCACTGAATAAGTGACACAGCGTTACTGTAACTGTGAGCTGCAACATGCATAGGGAAACAACAGGAAAGAAGCCTCGTAGACTGGCAGAATTCATTTAGAAGTGAGAAGGAAAGATCTCCTATGCTATGCAGCAAGTTTAGAAAGCTGCTTCAAACACAAAAGAGAAAATATATCATGAAAAGAGCACAATGTCCCCTTCCTAGGCTTGAGATGGGCTTGCTTTAAGTTGCTTTTTTTTAAGAGCTGAAAAGATGACCTTGTAAGATAATGACCTGAACTGTATTTGCATTAAGTATACTTATCAGTTTGCAGGATCAATTCCCATATGTAAAGAGGAAATGGAATATATAAATAATACGTAGAAATATAAGATATGGCTTAGGCTAAAATACACTAAAATAAAAACTCAGTTGGCCTTTAGATCAAGCCCTTAGAAGTAAAACATTTGCAGGTTTTGTTTGCTTTCGGGATTTTTTTTGCGCTTTTCTATCTCAACCCGAATGTTTCTTTCAAGGTAACAGTTGGTACAAAAGTACACAGCAATTACTCAAGTGCACAATCTTTTCACATGTTCCAATCATGCTTTCATTAGCATTGTTTATGGTTATCTGTTCCATTTCTTTAATAATGCTTAAACTGCAAACAGGATATCTGTGGAAATGAGATACCGTGTCTCAGCAGGTAGCCTGCATTTAAGTGAATGTTTCCATGCAGCTACAGGAATAAAAATCTATTAAATATACTCAATTCTCTCGTTATTCACTTTGCTTTTACTGCAAAACAATGTGCCTTTCTACCTAAAACCATAAACATATTAAAAACTTTGGTTTGGAAGGTGGCTAAAAGTGAGTCAGCAACTAATATCTTCAACAACAAAATAATGAGGGAAGGTCCCACTTTATATTGTCCCAAATTATTTACATATTACATTATATAAAATACCTATATGTAAGTATATTCTTATGCAAAATGCACACACATACAAATAGTGCTCCATATTCCTGAAACACTACAAATTCTCATTTGCTTTATTTGAGCTCAATGAAGTTTTAGAACATCTTAGCTGAAAATTCAGGCTCCATAAAGGAAAGCAGGAAGATATGAGAGCTCTTACTGTCCCTTAACTCATTACTCACACTAGAATTTAATGTTCATTTTCTTTCTCCTTACTTCAATCTTCCATCACATATTTCAAACTCATCAGAAATTCAACATTCTGTTAAAAAGATACGTTTCTTCTCATAAAATGAAACTACACTTCAATATAAGGTTTCATGTACAATTCAGCCAAAGTGCCTCTGCTTTTTGGTTCAGGGCAAAGCTTTTAATGTTCATTGAGTTACCTCAGTAATTGGCTCATCTTTTGTGCCTCGAAGGAGGTTCATTTCATCTGGTGTCAGCTGGAATTTTGCTATGAATGCATCTGCAACTTGTGCTTTCATTTCTAGTCTCTGACTGTAAAAAAACAAAGTGAGAGATTAGCTTTTTAATGTTTATCTCCAATCATTTTGCATATTCAGACTTCTGGAAATATAACTAGCATTAGAAATCATAACTATTAAATTCCAATAGTATATTCTTGCCATCAAAAACTTGAGTTGCATCTTCAGATATAATTTTCTGCTAAGCTTATATGTTACTGAGTAAAAAAAAAAAGGGTTAAGGTAAGTTAATACCTTTGAAAAATAATTTTTTTAAATAAATATTCTCTTTGCATTTGTATCACAAGTTATCTAATCCAGATATTTTTCACTTGTACAATCTAATGCCTGCCAGTTATTTCCTTTCAAGTTCATTGAGGAAAGAATGGGTTTTCAGCTCATGTTTTGAGTGACAAACAAAAAACTGTAACACCCAAAATGAGAAAATGAACATCAATTCAATCTACCTTTCTGTAGAACAGATTCATTTTTGCTTAACACTATACAGTTGGGATATTAATTTACTAACTTCGCAATCAACCAAAATGTAAGGTTAATTTTCTTGTTGGTTACCCTCCCTCAAATAAACACTGCAAGCAAGTAATATGCAAACTCCATCTAGTGGATAACATCTTTCTACATGCATATTTTGTTGCACAGCCTGCAAAGACACCACAGAATGACCCAAATGAATACACTTTTATTCTGCAGGAAGAAAGGGACTGGAATTCAAGTAGCAACAGAAAAATTGTTCAAACTGTGGTCTGGGCCCATAGCGCTCCAGGAAACATAGGCTATTTTTTTGGACATCGAGAAGGTGCTAATTAGATATTTGTAGAAGAATGATGCTCAATTACTTTAAGACCATTTCAACTTCCAATATAATTATTATAAGATAAACACACTGTTATTATACGCAGGTTAAGATAGACAAGTGCACCTCTAATACTGGCTGTCATAATTACATTTCCTTGCAAGATCAAAGCTTGAAAAGTAACCTTTTACTTATCTACCACTTTTCTACTAGCCAACTAACAGACTGCATTCAGCTGAAGAACAAACACAGAAAACAGACTTCCCTTCTGCAGATGTGGATGAACCTCCCATCCTGTACTAGTACAAACCCTTTTAGAGAGCAGCTGCAATATTTTATAATTGTCAGCACTCCAGTATACTGAATAATGAGAAGAAAGGGAACAGAAAATCCAAAGCTATTTCACAGCAAAATTAAGGAAAAGCAAGGATGAAGAAAAAAAGTGTTTGTAATTTATAAGGAAGATACGTAAACAAAATGGAAAACAACTCACTCATATGCTTTAACATCCCACTTGCAATTGACAGCCATTTTCGCCAGTCCTATGCAGATATAGCTGTTATGCCCTTACACTGACAGTTTTATTGATGCTTAAGAATTGGCTGTCTGGCTACTTAATTTTCTCAAAGAGAGTTCTGCTACTGTAAACTCAGGGTTCCCATGAAGCTGAATCTTTCTGGGCAGAGGGACAAGAGCGGTGGAAGGTAATCTTGGCCAACTAAAGGGGCAATGACAGCAGATGCATCCATGGTAAACAGCAACATTGCCCAAGCACTCTGGTGGGAGTTCACTACAAGTGAGGAAGAACAGGGAAGCAGTCTAAAAAAGGGAGGGCTCAGCAGTACACTGGCAACTTTGGGATCAGATAATTTAGGTACAGGAGGAAAAGACAAGCTAGGAATGGTACTTAGAAGAGAGGAAAGAGATCGAGAGGCATAATGACGGTTTTGCGAGGAGGTAGAGAGAGTTTTCCACCACATGCGATGGGCTATGAGGAAGAAGAAAATTAGAAGAGGATGGAAAATATCAGGAGACTGGGGGCTGAGAGGGGAAGAAGTATGAGGTGATGGGTCTGAAGGGATTGATCTGCCCCATCTCCTCTTTTGGATAACTTTATCTAAATCTCCAGTATTGGGGTGAAGAAATACAAGACTATGTGCAAACCTGAAAAGACCTGACACTGTTCTCCAACCCTGCTATGTTTTTCTGACACAGGAAGTACAGTAGCCCTCATTACAGTTGAAGGAGAAAGGAAGTTCAGTAAATTTAACGAACAGAAATCTAGCAGGGGGGAAAAAAAAAAAAAAGCTTTTCATTTTTTTGGGTACCTGTACTCTTTAATCCAGTTTATGACAGTCCCGCATTAAGAGGCATGCCTGCACAGTGAGGTACCAGTAGCATGGGGTCAGTGACTGCTATTCCACTGCAGCTACAAAACTGCTCATGAAAACCACACTTCAAAACTCTTATGGGGTTAAAAAAGGGCTCATTTCAACGGTAAGTTATAATAACAACAACAACAAATCTTGGACCCACCTCCCCAAAAATAAAGGCATGCGATGTCACTACTCAAATTGAAAATCGGGTAAAGACTTAAAATGTTATCAGAGGATTCTAATCCATCCATGTCACCATCACTGGATTTGGCTGAAACAACAGGAAACGTAATTTAGGCAATTAATTTTATGTAGTGGTTGCTCTGCGTCTTTCCTCTTGTGAGGAAATTTCACCTTAACATTTAACTACAACGCTGAGTTGACTTAGGCTGAACTAACCGAAGCTGTGTGCCTCCTGAGTACATAAAGTTTCAACTGTTCTTACAGTTACTATTATCTCTTTTTCTTGAGATTTTTTGAGTTCATAAGAACTCTCAGTAGTAGTCTGTACACTTGCACCAAGTTGGAGACAGGGAAGGGTAGTGCAGTATTCTGGACATACGACTTTCTTTTTAGTTTGCTTTCCAGATTTTTCAGAGTTAGGGTTGCAGACTTTCAAAGAACAAGGGCCAAAGTCAGGAGCTGGATAAAAACAGACTCGCTTGTCTGTTCTGGAATCCTGTGCCCCTATCACTACCCTGCTACAATAAAGATAAAAATAATAATAAAAACCTTAAAAGACTGGCAAATGTAAGTGGTCTAGAAAACATCACTTTTGAAAAGAAAATACAAAAATAAACAAAACCCGCTAATTTCTGAGAAGTCGTTTGTGTTCTCCTCACATTCACAGTCTTTTTGCTCCTATATGCAGGCAACTCACAACTGAAACTCTCTGAAGTCCCCATTCTACATCTTTTGCTGCTACCAAGAATGAGGTTCCATCAAACACAGCACTTTAAAGCCATTACCACCTCTGGCTGTGTCTTTGGCTAACCCTGGGCATAACTGCTCACTGATCTACTCTGGACATGCTCAACAATTATACAAAACAAAGTCAATATATTAAACTCTGAGACATGGCCAAGTTAAAAGTTCCACTGTGTAAACACAAAATAACTGCCTCAAGGTGGCAGCAGTGTTTTGTCTGTCTTTCTCAAGCTAGTGATTTTGAAGTAGTTGAGAAGCATCTGTCCTACAAACTAAAAGCATGCCTCTGACTTTTGATAAAGCCTTGCTGCTAATTTTTAACAGTACATTAGACTGCTATGAAGTTGATAGTTCTGCAGTTTTTTAAAATATCACTTTTTCTAAACTACTTATCTCCTGTCTTTATTAAAAGTGGCCTTCCAATAGATTAGCTTAAAGCTATTTCTTTCGGGCTCTCTGCAACAAAGGACACGGGATTTCAACATGCTACTCAAATACAGTTTCGAAACCTAAGTTAGCTACCTCTGCTTATGCTGATTATGAATGCTGTTGCGCTTATCAATCTGCCTGAGAAAGAGATTCTATTTCCTAGAAAACGATCGATTGGGAACAAAAAAATTTAAGTAGGTGCTATATACCCTTGACCTCTACCTGGCAGTGTACAATATTAAGGAGATCACTAAATTCGTATAGATATTCAAATCTATCTATGAGCCTCAGAGTTAAGCTAACAGCTATTTAACTGGAATTTAATCAATTTTAAAGCATGCAAATGGATTAAAATATCACTCAAGCTTGTTATAATATTTCACAGTGTAGTGTTACGCAAAATATCCAACATTGTAGTAACAAAAACTAAAGCCATCTTACATCCATCCCGCGACAATCAATACCTGTGTAGATATTTGGTCATTTCATGTCCTACTGCCCTTTCTGTCAACATAACCTCTTTCAGATTACGGTCTAGGCACGCAGAAGATAGCAGGGGGAAGGTCGATATTGTGTTGCTATCCCAAAGATTTTTTTTTTTCCTTTTACAAAAGTCATCCCTGCATAAAAGAACAAAACTAACAGATCATGGGAACACAGCAGCAATGCAAAAGGGGAAAGTATCAAGCACTGGTAGACTTTTAAGCTCGAGGGTTGGAAAGGAAATCCAACAAAGAGCAATTTCCCAGTTTTAATCGTTACCACGGAGACAGAATTCTTCTGCAAGAGAACTCAAAAGACTGAGAAAACTATGCACTTCAAGCACGTTTCCCCTGAACCAAATACAAATGTGCACTGTTTGTTAGGATTATCACCTAGACAGCTCAAAAAACGAGGTGGAGAAGAAACAGACTTTTCCAAAGTTTAATTTTGTACTGCCACTACATGTATCATAGATATCTGCTAGCTTCCTTTACCGAGGAAGAGTCATAGCAGCGCATTCTGAAATTACTTTCAATTTACAGTATTGAGGATTCACCACATCTTTAAAACCTCATAAAGAGTATTTTTAACTCAAGGAAACAACAGCCATCTTTAACAGACATGTACAGATGCTGTTCAGTAGTCCTTGAAAATTCATTTTTCTGTGATGCTTTCTGTGGAAGGCAAACATACAAGATAACACAACAAAAGATTTACACACACGTAAGTGTTAGGAAACTCCACTCCTAAGAATAAATATCAGTTGCAAATAAAAAAATGCTTTTGTAAATGCTAAGGGCAAACATTTTCATTTGCCATTTTGTCTGTCAAACATATCTTCTACTAAAAGAGAACAGAGAAGCTATTATGAGAAGCTATTCAGGGACTAACACATCATGGAATGCAACTAAGAAATTTTATGCCCAAGCAAAAAATAGGAAGGTATAGAAAATCACAGTGAATTGTCTAACACATTCTCAGGATACAGGGAAATAAATAGCAGTC